AAAAAAAAAAAACTGTGGCAGTAAAAGAGAATTATGTCATTAACAAGAAATGCAAAGTGTGGAGACGACCAGTAAAAATTAGTGATTAAAAACACTGGTAGCATGCCAAGGTTAAGCTTGTGTACTTTCTGATCTCTAGGATTATTTCATGGAGAAGTTCTGCTGAAACTTTCATAGTTTCAGTGGAAATGAAAACTATTAGATTTGGACCCTGGTTTGTGCTATTGGGACAGTACTGGGAGCGGTATTAAAAGGTTTGAATGTAACAGCAGGTAATTGCTATTTTCAGGACTCACAGAAATATCAGTCTCTAGACTGTGGTTTTTGGTTATTGAATTTCTGATGATTTGCCCATTGTTCTTACATATGTACCATTTCTTCACCTGGATGGCAAACTCTGCAGAATGGCACTTCCTACATTTTTATCTGTTGTTTGGTTTTTGTTTTCTTTTTAAATGTCACTTATTTCCATCGCTGTATGTTTATTTTGGAGAAAATATTTTTAGTTGAGTTTTCAGAGCTTAAGTTGATATATTATTTATTTTTGTTTTCCATTTTGTTTGTTTTCCATTTTGCTTTTAACATCCCATGTACATCCACATTTTCCCTGACAGTGACATACCAAAGGATCTTTGTCCTCTGTACAGGCCAGGAGAATGGGAAGACCTTTCTTCTGAAAAAGATATCAATCCTTTCAGCAAATTCAAATCCCTTAGCAAGGAGAAGAGGCAGCAGAATGGCGTTTCATCCACTGCTCTGGGTGCCAAACAAATAAAGCCTTCAGATACAGAAAAGTCTGCTGATTTTGAAGTTCTTCAGTCTTCTGAGAGTACAGTTTCAATCAAATCAAAATCATTGGAGTTTTCCAACAACATCACTGCCACTGAGCATCTGGAAAAGTCTGCTGCAGAGCCACATGCCAAGGAGCTTTCTGGGGAGAAGAACGTGTCAGACCTCAAAACCAAAGAGAACTCCCTCCTGGGAGGAGGAGAGGGCGATTTCATTGAACTGGAGGAGACGTCCTCTTGTATGGACAGAGGGTTGAACAGCAAAGGCTCAGTGATGGAGGGCTTTCTGGCTGACCCCAGGGAGCTGGGGAGAACGAAGCAGCAGGTAACCAAACCCACTGCAGAAGTCCAGGAGCGCTTGACAGTTGATTCCTTGGAAAAAAAGGACAGTATTGAACCCAAAGCTGACTTAGACTTAGAGCTGTGTGAAAAGCAAGATGTTATTCCAGAAGTAAACAAATGTGTCAGTTCCCCAACAGGTAAGGTGGAGACTGCATTGGACACTAAGAAAGAGCTAGAGAAAGATAAACTTATTGAATTTTACCTCAATAAAGATGGGAATGGGTCTCAGTCATCTGAAGACTTGCACAAGGCTGAAATCCAGAAAGGTGAAAACAATAAAGCAATTGGCATAGACCTTACACTTAGCAGTTCAAAGTCCCAAGCTAATGAAGTCCATACAGTTAAAAGTATGGAGCTTGAATCCCGCTATTTTGAAAGGAAAGCACCTTCATTAGAAATCAGCTCAGCAGCAGCAGAGAAAAAGGATCTGAAAGAGTCTGTGGACTCTTCGTTAGTACCAGCTGTAGACAAGACCTGTCAAGAAGCACAGTTAGACAATCAATCAGAAATCAGACTGTGGCTGCTGCAGAAAATTCAAGTGCCAATTGAAGGTAGGTCTCTGGTTATCCTTGTTTTTTCTGAGAGCTGGCCAACGTTGTGATGGTAACTGCTGAATTGATCCTTATGCTCTGAATTTCGTCTTTCTGTGATATATGCTCCTTTTTTTTACTCTGGTAAAAATACGTATATTTATATAAACTCTCTATTTATTCTTATATTTTCCTCTATTTAGAAGAAAAATCTTCATCTCCTAAGCTTCTATTTTGACAAACAGCTTGTCTGCTCTGTATTTAGCTATTACTGTTCACACATACTTTCTCTGTGCGCTGCTTTTAAGAAGGACAATAAAATGTCATCCAGTCATGGTATTGATGGGAACGTACAACCTAGGAACTTTTACTCTGTGTTGGTAGATTCTGTTCCCTCCGTGAAGGCAGTCTGTTTATTTCTGAGAGTTGAAATCCCAAGTAGTACACTGCTGTAAAGGGAAGTCCAAGGTATTCCTACCTACATTTTTGTGCTGTGGGTATTGCCAAAGAAGCAGTAAATAGGCTTATATGTAGAGTCTTACCTGACTGACTCTTCTTGGGTTTTGGGAGTTCTTACAGTTAAAATCTAGCATGTTACTGGAAAAAAACATGCAACAAAATGAAATCTCAGTTTAGATACGTGCTCACATGGTACTATTTCTACCACTACCCTCTGAATGCCAGCACAGATGCTCTTGCTAGTTCAGTGAGCCAACTAGTTCAGTGCCCTGGTTGCACTGGAGGACAATTGACGTGGAAGTCTTTGCTTTAAAAACAGTTTACCTTAAAGTGGGTTTTCTTCTCTTTTTTGAGGGGTTTATGTCTTGCTGGTGGTATCTGCTGAACTTTCCCCATGCTGAGAGGGGAAAAAAGATGGCTGTGTGCATTCCCCTGAAGTTATGTTTGTCAAATTCAGTGTGACTGAGGTGATACTTTAATGAAAACCTTTTGGTGGCAGTGGCACCTTGACTTCAGCTGCTCTCGTGCAGGCAGAAGGTGCTGTGTGCTTTGCCAGCAGGGCAGCTGGTTGAGCTGGCTGGGTGGCCATGGCCCGCTGTCTCTCGCAGTCCCCTTCACCTGCTGCCTGTTGCAGTTTGCACCCAGCTGGCTACCGCAGTTCTCCATTTTGTTTTGCCAATGTCATTTTTGCCCCTCAGGGTCTTTGTGTTTTAGAGCGCTGTTCTGTAAGCAGCCCTGCAACAAATGGGGCTGCAGGCTGTGGCGAAACAGGGCTCAACTCCCTGCTCATCCGAAGCGGCAACCCCCATCCAGCCCATTTTCCTGCAGCGCCTCCGTCTGCGCGCGGAGCTGCTGCTGCTGCTCGGGCTCGTCCCGCTGTCCTGCGGGGCGCACCGGCCTGCAAACCGAGCGTTTCTGTTGTCTCTCCTGCTCAGATATGCTTCCTTCAAAAGAGGAGAAGAGCAAGACTCCTCCAATGTTTCTGTGCATTAAAGTGGGCAAGCCCATGAGGAAGTCCTTCGCGTCGCAGAGCACCACCATGTCTCAGCAGTACAGTAAAAAGATAAAGCAGCCCGAGTACTGGTTTGCTGTTCCTCGGGAAAGGTAAGCTGCAGCGCATGGTTTGTTTAAAAGAGTTTTTGTCTCGTAACTTCTGAGTGTGTTTTGCTTTCTAGAGTTGAATCTACCTTTTCCTATCTGGTTGAAGGTGCAACATGCAGCCAGGAGAGGCAAGGAGTTTAAAAAGGTGCCAGTGCCAAAATTGCGACCTTGCCTGAGCAAAGGACGTAGTGTAACCAGGGCAGACACTCCTAACTGAATGGATGAGGCTGCTGCTGCCTTTAGGCCCATGTAGGAAATTCATCCGTTCCTTCATTATAAAATACAGTTAGATGCAGTGCACACATATGAATATATATATGTATGTATGTATATGTA